ACTGCTATGGGCAGACGTATCGTTTACCACCAGGCGCACGACTAGTTCGTCCCGTCATTATCATAATAAAGCTTACTTTTTTTAACCGACTTCAAAAAGGAAGAGGTTCTCAATTCGACTGTATTTTGTTTTTTTTTGTATGTATGTTCCGCGATAACTCCGGTATTTGTGAACTGCTTTTCATGATTCTTTTTTTGTTGGAGAGGGAGTACTTCCATAGTGGTCCCATTTCATTTTGAAGAAAATCATCCACCTCTATGGGTGGCTGTTCACGCATGAAGATTCATTTTTATAAATAGCGCACAAATTTTACTTAGGAGCAATTATTTTAATGGTTGATTTTGCTATTTCTCCAATTCAAGGCATTTTTCTCTCAATATACTTTGAGTAGTGAGAACCGATTTTTAGTATCTCCAGTATCAAGTCCTTTATAGTGGCGAATTTAAGGATATTTCAATAAAACTTAGCAAATAGACGTAATTCCACGTACTTTTGAGGTCGGTTTTTTTAGTACTCTGTACTGAGATTATATTTACTTATGTAACCTTAATATTAACGTTAAAGACGCTACTATACGCTAAGTTATTAGACTTTAGTCATGTTGTACTTTATCGACAACGGAGCGGAGACCTGGAATACAGGACCTATCTAATTATGGCACAAGGATCTGTACAATAAGTATATGAACGTCTAGTACGCTACTCTAGAACATTAGTTTTCCTATTCAATAGGTTACATTGTAGATAAATAATAAAGATTTATTGCCGTTATTGTTTATTCTGCATTTTTTTTTCTTGTCTGTTTCAATCGTTGTTTTATTTATGTTAGACAATCATAACAAAATTGCTCATGATTATTATTACCTAAACTTTGTTCTGAGAATCATAAATTAAATATTTATAGATACAACGTTTTTGTTAAGTAGTTTTACAACGTTAAATCATAGATCCAAAATTAGTACTGTAATACGTATTATTCGACGTCGAACTTGATGTCGTATTTTTTATAATGCTCTCATTTAAATTTTATGGCCATTAACGTATGATGAAGCCAACTCGCAAAAAATATGTATAAAAAGAAGTAGCCAAGTAAGATGTTAATTTGCTGAGGCGTGCGCACATAGGAAAATATATAATAATTTTTTTTCTTTATGAAAATGTAAACGCGCATTTGACCTCCATCTCATCTGATGGAAAGTGATGATGAGGTTGACGATGGAGCATGCACACCTAAATAATACCTGCTCACTCTCGCCTTGAAAAGGTCCAAGTTATAACGTTCAGGGAACAAATCTATAGGCAGGGAATTCCACTCCATAGCCGTTCGCAATATAAATGTGGAAGCGTAACGTATCGTGCGAATATAAGCCTACATCTAGTCCGCCGGTGATGGAAAGAGAAAGGCGGAATTAAAACGTGTAATTCCCTCACACACTCTACATGCAATCGCTTGATTTTCAGACTACGGTTCAAGCATGATGACACTTATTCTGAATGGTCTCCTTTGACTTCAGGGGTGCCTCAGGGTGGTGTACTTTCACCTCTTCTCTTCTCGCTGTTCATAAATGAACTCACAAAACGAATAACTCCTCCGTTCCACTTATACGCTGGTGACGTGCAAATTTATAGACACTTTGATGCAGCTAATACCCTATCCGCCATTGAAGATATAAATAAAGATCTTCTTGTTGTGAAGTCTTGGGCTGATACGTTTGGTTTGCTTATAAACTCAACGAAATCGCAGGCGATAATCGTAGGTAGCAACAGACTTTACTGTAGGTTGGACATTGATAATCTCGCCAAGGTTTCGTATAATGGAGTGAGTCTTGCATATGCTGATAATACAAAGAACCTGGGTCTGATAATCGATCATACACTGTCTTGGAGACCGCAGGTAAATGAGGTTAGTCGACGCATGCATTTTTCATTTCTCTCATGCGGCTTGAATTCTTCTTGCCATTCAATACCAAGGTTCATGCTTGCTCAGTCTTTACTACTTCCTCTTCTCGACTATGCCGATGTTTGTTATTTGGATGCTACGGAGGAGCTACTTAACAAACTGAAGCGCCTACAAAATCTGGCAATCCGTTTCATATTCGGTTTACGGAAATATGACCGTGTCTCTGAATTTCGGACTAAGTTGAAATGGCTACCAATCCGACTTCACCGAGATATGCACGTTCTTTGTCTCCTTTACAAAATTGTACATTACCCCCAGCTTCCTCATTATCTGTGTTCCCGTTTTTCTCCCTTATCCCCCAGTTCGCGCCCAAAACGTACCTGTGACACTAGATCACTAATAAATCCCCAATTCAACTCGAAATTCTTCCACAACTCTTTCACGGTAAGTGTAACTCGTATGTGGAATAAACTGCCTGCTGGCGTTCGCGACAGTCCATCAGTGGCATCTTTCAAACATAAATTAAAAGAGCACTACCTGTCGAACGCGTTAGATAGCTAATAGGTAACATATATTATAAAGTAGTAATTTGTTTAGATTACAATATATATTCTGCTTATGTTTGTATTTATGTATATAAAGTTCATGTAGGTGTGTATGTCTGTCATATGTACTTGGTATTTGGTGTAACGGGCTGGTGTCCGCAACTCGACGACAAGGCGCCTATTTTGCGTGTGGTCTGTCATATATATATTATCATCCTTTTATCATCCTTTATATGTATATATATTATTTTTATATTATAATTTTTTTTTTACTCACATTTAAATTTTAATTTTATTGTACAATAATTAGTCCCGCAGACTTCATTTTTCACCTAGGTTAGGGTTGGCTGGAAGAGATCTCTTCTAGAGATAAGCTCACCTTTGTATATATCCTTTATAACTTGTGTTTCATGTATCTTTTCTTTGTGCAATAAAGAGTTATTATGATATAGTCTGAACAAGCAACTTTGCGGCGGTGTTCAAGACTCTGCACCTTCCCCTTTGTTCCGTACATTTTGGTTCAGTAGGTAAAAATATTTACTATAGAAAGTAAACATCCTGAAACCGCCGTGAAACGCAATTCTTCTACGTCTTGCATATGAGTTTTTTTTAAAATAATAGTAATGTGCCCAGACAGCCACATCACTTACCCGGTCTTAAACTATCGAAATCCTTGTACTATGAGTACTAGAGCAACGGACTGAATTCACTCTGGGACACTATATCCAGAACACCCAGACCAGAACCAATTTGGAAATCAATGTTAATAAAAATTTTAGTAAATTACTTTTGTAGTACTAGACTAACAAAGTATGTAATTGCTTCCATTTTTATTCTTACTTTCTCATTGAACTGTACTATAAATATATGTACAGTAAACGGAGTTAATATAAATGACACATAAACAAGTTCACTTATTTAATAGTAAACGGTAAGCCATTCTACCCTCTCCATACATTACGCGACGCTAATTTTGTTTATTGAATATCACGATGGTATCCCATGACACCAATTATTTTTGGTGAAACTACTCCTCTGTTTTGTTATAATTACTAATACAAATATCAAATATAAAGAAAAATTCATTCGATTTGCCTAGATTCGAACCAGCGCGCAGCGCCGTCATCATACCGTGGTTGACGCTCTCCCAACTGAGATGCAGAACGAACTCAGTTGCTTTTTGCAGATCTTCATTTTTTGGTTTTAACGACTTTTTTGCCTTTCATGAATGTCGAAGTAAACGTTAATGGTATAATCGCCAGTAATAAAATGTGTGCTCATAGAGAAATCAAAATTAATTCAATTGAAAAGATACGTAGAGAAATATTCGTTGAAACCTGAGTATAAATAGCAATACACTTCAAGGACTATTAACTAATTAAATATTTTCGCGTAGGAAAGAAGAGTATCCTCTTTTATATGACTAAAGTGGAATCTGTAAATTTACGTGCAGAGCGCCTACATGTATTGTCAATGCCAATTATACCTTTCCGTGTCTTTACATATTACAGTAAATGCTTTACGATATTATGAAGGAGCAATTTGAGGTGATTGCACTATTATCCATTTACGTATTTATACTACATTCTATATAAGGAAGAATATCAGAACTTAATTTCAGTTTCAAAATAAAACGGCATTGTTTCTTGGTTTTCTTCGTCGTTTTTTTCTCCCTTTCCGGGGGCTAGAGATAGAGGTACGTTTACGGGCTAGTTATAAATGATAACTTACTTACAAATTATTTGCTTATTTATTATTTACTAATTTTGGTACTTGACGCTTTCAACGTGTGTGTATACAATAAAACGCCGCAATTTTATTCATTCGTTTCAAAAAGTGTATATATGATGATAATTTATATTAGTTAAATATAATTTTATCCATATATATGAATTTCATAAAAGATAATTTCTGCGATGTTTTTGTGATTGTACGTATAATAAATTTCTATACGCTACATACCTTACCACGCCCTAAATATAGAGCGCCTAAAATATTGAAACCTTCTATTTGTCTTTACTGACGGATAAGGCGTCTGAATTAAAATACAAATTTATTTTACTCTCCCTCACACAAGCTGTGAATGAAATACGGCTCTTCTCCACTGTGAATTTGCAAATAATGATTCAATTTAGATAAACTGAAGAAGTGTAAACACAATACAGAGTTCTAAACAGTTTTAGTACAGAGTACCAAAAAACCGACCTCAAAAGTTCGTGGAATTACATCTATTTGAAAGTTTTATTGAAATCGATTACCGGAAAGTGTGCGAAACCGGATTTATCCCCTAGTTTGCCACTCTTTAGAGGTGGAATATTTCCTTCAAATTTAAATGGGACCTATATTGAAGTACCCTCTTGCTAACAGAAAAGAATCGTGAAAATCGTTTCACATATAAAAATACAGAAAAAATACAGTCGATTTGAGATCCTCCTCCTTCAAAGTCGGTTAAAAATAGAAGAATGTACAAACCAATGTGTTTCATTGAAAAGATATTATATTTAAGGCATAGGCACATCGCACCCTTGGTGTAATAAATGAGACCACATCTGCAAAATGACAACTTTTCAGGATAAAGGTAAAAGGTTCTGTGAACGAAATTAGTCGACAACTTATAACATTTCACATACACATGATTAGTTTCATGAAGTCCGTATTATTTTCATGATTTTATAAAACCACTTTTGACGTATGATCCCATGTGGATATATTATACCAAGGCAAGGTACGAAATACAAAAATTCTACTTTTATCTCGTCTACTTAAAGTTACAAAATTTTATAGAAGGCCCCGCCCTGCATATTGGGCCCTACCGGGCTGGCAACGTTTGTTCTTTGGATGGCTAAGATTATTCTTCGATGGAAGTTTAGTAGCTATAGAGATTCTTGTGAAAGAGTTCGTCCAGGGAAGTACTGCCACCTTACCTGTTTCTACCGCCAATCAGTAATGTGAGCATTACTGCGTTTCGGTATAGAAGGGGTGCTGGTAAAATACAGGCACATGAGACTTTACAATTTAGTGTTAGAGTGGCAGACGCTGTGGCAGTGTCACAGAGTGTCACAGAGCCGCACTGCAACTGTTATGAATATGCGCGTCGCTTACCACCATCAGGCGCACGACTTCTTCAATCCGTCACTTGTAATCATAAAAAAAAGAAACTGCTAGCTCTCTGGTCTTTGGTGAGGAGTTTTACCTGTGTTCTTCGGGGAGTCAATTGGAGATGGCGGTGGGCTCAAGGACAACCGGTATTTTAGTACTGGCTCGAAATTCAAATATATTTCACTAAATGTTTAAAATATACATAATGTATTTATCGTACAAATAAGCGACTTCAGTGGCTCAACGGTTTGTATTGCGGGCGCTGGAGAAGGAGATTCTGGGTTCAATTCCCGATAACACCAATGTTGGAGTGTATTCCGTTGCTCAAGCACTTATAGTACAAGAAAGTTCTATCTTATAGTGGTTGTCTCACTTTATAATTTTATTATTTATTATTAGAATGAAATCCCTGTCGCTATGCGTGCTTGTACTCCATTTAATGTATCAAGTCACCGGCGAGACGCATTACTCGACGAA